ACACAGAGAATACAAGTAGTGATTCTACAGCATCTTACTACACTGATGGACAGTGACTGTGAAGGGGTATGTAGGGGGGCCTTGGTGAAGGGGGGAGCCTAGTAATCATAATGTTCTTCATGTAATTGTAGATTAATGATACCAAAAAAAACAAACAATGGGATGCCATTCCTCACTGATTGGGAATATTTTAAAAATATAAAAACTGGGAAATATGAGTAAGTTTAGTGGATTGTATCATTGTCAATTTCTTTGCTGTATATCCTACAGTTTTGCAAGATAGTCCCACCATTGGGAAGAACTGGTTAAATATATGGACCTTCAAAGTATTATTTTTTACAACTACATATGAACTTAAAATTATTTCAAAATTAAAAAGTGTGTAACTTTTTAAAAAGACAGACCCTATTTCTATTCATCAAGATTTAATCTCAGATATGACTCCAACAATAATGGAAAAATATGTGCACTATAAAGTTAGTCACACCATTGTATATTGCAGTGAAAAGACTGAAAAAAGTTTCATTAAGAGGTTGGTTAAATATGGTAAGTACACATAAGAAAAAGTAAGAATCCACTGGAAATATATGCATGTATATGCATCTATGTATTATGTACACTATATATATATGCACTTATGATCATGACTTATTATTAAATGTAAAAACACCAACGTTTGGTAAGATCCCACGTTTGTATGAAACTAATACAAATATACACATACACGTGCATATATTATATACAAGGAAAACACATTCAGTTGGTGAAGCTGTAAGAACACAGGCACACTCACAGATGGCTGGTGCAGATGCAAACTGTACAACTGATTTGGAGGTTATTTGGCAATAGTAAACAGCACAAGTAATTAACAGCACTTAAAGGAGTCTATAACTGTAGGTACACCTTCAACTACACAAAAACATATATATGTACAAGTTTATTCACTATAGCCTTGTTTCCAATTGGAAAACACTGCGAAGAATCTAAATGCCTATACACAGGATATTTGTTAAGTAAACTATAATCTGTTCAGTGTCTTCCACACAACAGAAACACAAGCAAAAATAAACTGTGACGACATCAAACTACCAAGACTAGTTACCTCCAGGAGGTGGCTGGGAATGGGGGGCTGTTAAATTAGGGGCTGAGAAAGAGATATTAGGGGTGACACTTCTCTTTGTAAGCCTTTTCATATAGGTCTAACACTTGGAACCATGGTACTATTTCACATAACCACAAAATAAATACATACTTCAATCTAAACAACACTTGGGGGAAACCCAAAATGGAATGCAAATAATAACAAATAAACCTAATTGTAAAACAAATGGCTAACATGAACAAACTGAACTGGGTGGTAAGAAAAGAACTGACTTACGACTTCAGTAACTTTAGAAGCAGTATATTTGACTATCAACTGTAAGGCTAAAGACAAACAAAACTGCACACCAATATTGTACTCCAGGTAGGAAAGTTGCTTCTCAGAGAATATGTTTTAGTATTTCTGAATCTCTGCTTCAGACAAACATAAAAAAATTTTAACATTCTAAAATTGAGCAAAGTAGTATATATATTTAGGAAAATGAGAGCCAGGTATCTTATTTTCAAAAGAAGGAATTACAATTGAAGACAGGATGACTAGAAGAGAATGAACCTTGTGTTTTATTTTTATTTTAGTATCATCAATATATAATTACATGAACAATATTGTGGTTACTAGATACCCTCCATTATCAAGTCCCCACCACATACTCCATTACAGTCACTGACCATCATCGTAGTAAGATGCTATAGAATCATTACATGTCTTCTCTGTGTTGTACTGCCTTCTCGGTGCTAGCCCCTAGATTACATGTGCTAATCCTAATATCCCTTATTCCCCTTCTCCCTCCCTTCCCACCCCCACCCCCCGCCAAGTCCCTTTCCCTTTGGCAACTGTTAGTCCATTCTTGGGTTCTGTGAGCCTGCTGCTGTTTTGTTCCTTCAGTGTTTGCTTTGTTCTTGTGCTCCACAGATGAGTGAAATCATTTGGTACTTGTCTTTCTCCACCTGGCTTATTTCACTGAGCATAATACCCTCTAGCTCCATCCATGTTGTTGCAAATGGTAGGATTTATTTTCTTCTTATGGCTGAATAATACTCCATTGTGTATATGTACCACCTCTTCTTTATCCATTCACCTACTGATGGACATTTAGGTTGCTTCCATATCTTGGCTATTGTAAATAGTGCTGCGATAAACATAGGGTGCATATGTCTTTTTGAGACTGGGAAACTGCATTCTTAGGGTCAATTCCTAGGAGTGGAATTCCTGGGTCAAATGGTATTTCTATTTTAAGTTTTTTGAGGAACCTCCATACTGCTCTCCACAATGGTTGAACTAGTTTTACATTCCCACCAGTCCACAGTGGTTGAACTAGTTTTACATTCCCACCAGCAGTGTAAGGAGGGTTACCCTTTCTCCACATCCTTGCCAGCATTTGTTGTTCCTATTCTTTTCTATGTTGGCCATCCTAACTGGAGTGAGGTCATATCTCATTGTGGTTTTAATTTGCATTCCCCTGATAATTAGCGATGTGGAGCATCTTTTCATATGCCTGTTGGCTATTTGAATTTCTTCTTTGGAGAACTGTCTGTTTATATCCTCTGCCCATTATTTACTTTTTGGGTGTTGAGGCGTATGAGTTCTTTATATATTTTGGATGTTAACCCCTTGTCAGATATGTCATTTACAAATATAGTCTCAGAACCTTGCACTTTTATTTAGAATCAAACATATTAATATGAATTCATCATTTAATATGAAACATACAACTACACATAAACAAATACATACAAAAGAATATAGAAATAAGGACATCTAAGACTGTGAATATAAACATATACTCCCTCACTCTGTTGACTGAGAGGGCCCGGAAACAGAGATACAATGAGCACACAAATATTGCTTTCTAAAAACCATTCTTCAATAACAGGAACCAAGATCATTTATAGAAACGGTAGATTCCAGAGCTGGGATGGGAAAAAACAAGATGTACCTAGAACATACTGTGGTGACAGGAAATAGAGCAATGCTCAAAAAAAAAATGGGAGCATATCAAAAGGACACAGGAGCCAACGTGAAGGAAAGCACAACAGCCAAACTTGATAGCCATAGCAACAAAATAATGACAGTACTGGATTAAAATCAAGAGACTTAAATAAACACCAATGAGTCCATACTGAAATAAATATTTGATTAAATTAGTAAAATGGAAGAATGGACAGAGCTTCCTTATAGTAGAATTCCAATTAATGAATGTAGAAGGAATAATGGAAATTCTAAACAACCATGAAACAAAGAGTAACATAATCACTGTGGCAGGTAATAATCATGATGGATAAAATCAGTGAGTGAAGTATGACAAGAAACACAATATTTGCATAATCTCAAAGTATATTCCCACCAAATCATATGAAATTGAAAGGGAAAAGCAGTAACTTTACAGTGGAAAACTCTGGCACACATTAACTAAGAGATCAAAGTCACATGCATTAAAACATACCAACATCACATACATATGATGCACAGAGAATAGCACAGCAATACTTTTGCAGTATTATTGACAAGATTGCATAACATGCATTAAATCATAAAAAAATACCAAGATAATGGTTCTTGCAATTATCTGACACTTTTAAGACAACTATTATAACAATACTCAGACAAGCAATCACATTCTTGTGACAAATACTGAAACAGAAAACCCTGTCAATAAATATGATATCAAGAAAAGACAAATTTTTTAAGTTACAAATACAGTAACCAAAATTAAAAAATAAAATGACAGACTCAGTAGCACAGTGGAGATGGCAAAGGAACTTAAAAAGAGATATACAGAAAATATCCAATACTAACAGAAAATAGCATAAATATACAAAGGTTCAGGGAACTGAGACAATAACAGAAATATAGAAGAAACAGTGTGGGGCTGAAAATATTTGAAAAAACTAGTGCCTGAAAACCTCTTAAGTTTGGCAATAGACATAAACCTACAGATGCAATTAACTAAGAAAACTTCAGAAAGGATAAATACAAAGAAATCCACAGCCAGCTGCATCACAATAAAATTGCTAAAACTGAAGCCAAAGAAAATATCATACAACCACATAAAGGAATAATAACTGTTTTCCCATCAGAAACTCTGGAAGTCAGAAGGAAGTGTACACGTTTAATTGGCTGAAAGAAAGCAACTCTCCACACAAAATAACCAAAGAAAGTAATTTATGTAAAGGAATGTAAAATAAATTAAAGATATTCTCATGATGGAAACCTAAGTGTACATAACCCATAAGATCTTCTCTAAAGAAATGCTACAACAAGTTTTCATGCAGAAGGGAAACACCAGAAGGGAACATAAATCATCAGGAATGAAGAGCAACAGAAATATTTGTTTGGATAATTCAGGAGGTTATTTGTCTCTCTTGAGTTTTTTTAAATTGTGAAGACTGAAAACAAAAGACAAACATTCTCTGATAGAGTTTTCAATGTATGGCAATACAGTATGTGACAATTGTAAAAGAGGGAGAGTTAAGGGGCCTATGAAATGTTAATGTTCCTATATTCCAGTTCCTATATTCCAAACTACAGGGTAAAATACAGTGAAAACTTAAGTATATATTGTATAACCCCCTAAAATACAGTGAAAACTTAAGTATGTATTGTGTAACCCCCTAAAGAAAAAACTAAAGGCTATACAAAGAGATATAATAAAAAATAACAATAAAATCAAAATGGAAAATTATTCAAATAACCCAAAAGAAGGCAGAAAGGTTATAAAAATTAACAAACAGAAAACAAAAAATAAAGTAGTAAACCTAAATCTAAATATATCAATTTTTTATTATAAATGGCCTAAGGACCAAAACTCAAACACAGAAACTGTCAGATTACCAAAATAACAAAAAACAAAAAACCTAAACCATGAAACAATATCCTGTCTACAAGAGATAGACTTCAAATACATTGGTATAAGCAGCCTAAATAGCAAGGGAATGAGAAGATACATACCATGCAAACATCAATCAAACAACAGGACTAGCTATATTTATGAAAGACAAAAACAGATTTCAGAACAAAGAAAATTACCAGGGAAAATGAGGGCAATTATCTAATGATAAAAGGGTTGATTGAACCAGAAGGCACAGCAATCCTAAATGCATATGCACCTAACAGAGGTTCATAATATATGAATCAAAAACTGACAAAATAAAACAAGAAATAGACAAATTGACAAGAAACTTAAAGACTTCAACACTTCTATCACAATTAGAATTAACAGGCAGAAAATCAACAGAGTATGGAAGACTGAACAAGATCATTAACCAAGGAAATCTTTTCAGTGGTTATACAATACTCAACCCAAGAACAAAACTGACATTGTTTTTAAGTACATATGAAATATTCACATAAAGCAAAGCCTAACATACATGAAAAAAACTAGAAGTATACAAAGTATTTTCTCAAGCCATAATATAATTAAACTAGAAATTTATAACAGAAAAAGAACAGGAAACTCCCTAAACAACTTAAAATTTAAAAATCGTATTTTTCATTCTCAGAAGTTAAAATCTTTTTTATATCTTTCATACTTCAAGTAAGCATTTTCAGACTATCCTCTACATTGATAAGTAACTGTTTTAAACTCCTAAATCACTAATTCCATCATCTATGCCATTCAGGAGTCAGCTTCAATTGACAGATTTTTCCCCACTTATTGTCCAGATCCATGCAGGCCTTTAAAAAAAAAAAAATCTGCTTTATTCACTTTTCAAAACAAAACTCTTGCTACTTTGCCACCTTTCCCAACATATTGGTAGTCAAAACTTATTGGCATAAGATATATTTATACAATACAATTAAAATATGGGCAGAAAGACTATGCTGTATACTTGAAACCAATATAATATTGAATATGAATTATACTTCAATTTAAAAATTGGGTAGAGGATCTGAATAGACATTTTTCCAAATAAGACATGCAGATGGCCAACAGATAGATTAAAAGATGCCCAACATTATCAATCAGCAGGGACATGCAAATCAAAACTACAATGAGGTATCTCTTCACAACAATCAGAATGACTACAGTTATTAAAAAGACAAATAACAAGTACTGTGAGGATGAGGACAAAAGGGAGTCCTTGTGCACTGTTGGTAGAAATGTAAATTGGAGCAGCCACTACAGAAAACACTATGGAGGTTTCACAAAAAATTAAAAATGGAACTACCATATGATCCAGCAATTCCACTTCTGGGCATTTATTTATCTGAAGAAAATGAAAAGACTAACTCGAAAAGATAAACACACCCCAATATTCACTGCAGCATTATTTACAACAGCCAAAACGTAGAAACAAACAAGTGTCCATCAGTGGATGAAAAGAGAAAGAAATCATGGGGTATATGTGTGTGCATACATACACACAATGGAGCATTATTCAGCTATAGAAAAGAATGAAATCTTGCCACTTGTGACAACATGGATGGACTTTAAGGTTATTTATTATGTTAACTGAAATAAAGTCAGAGAAAGACAAATACTATATGATCTCTTTTATATGTGGAATCTAAAAAATGTTTTTAAAATACCAAGCTGAAAGGCACAGAGAACAGATTGGTGGGAGAAATGGGTGAAGGGAGTCAAAAGGTAAAAAGAAAAAAAAAAATTTCAATACTAAAAACTATGTGAAACCACAGCTTGGTGGTCCATCTTGATGGATACAAAATGTTGTCTGTATGAAATAACATCAAAGAGGAAAAAAAGAAAATAAAATACTTTTAAGACAAAATAATTGATTTTAACTATGTAGAATGCCCATATGTACAAAGATAATTATTTTCACTAATAAAAGTGGTTTAATATTTATTATTTTTGGTAAATTTAACTTTGGAACAAGGAAATTAGAATGGAAGAGAGATGTGCTGAAATAGTCAATACAGAAAAAAATTACTAGAAAGATAGTTGTACTTTTTCTCATACATCAGTCAATATTTTTGTTCAGCAGGCTTTCATCTTTGCCTTTCAACTTGGTAAAATGGTAAGATGCAAAAAGAATGATTTTATTCCATGTTTTAAGAGGCACGTTATAGCATAAAATTTCTTGTTGATGAGAGGGGTGATGGTAGCATAATTTAGAGATATAGGTAAAAGGGATGTTTATTTAAACTAGGTGTAAGCAAATTCAACTAAGAGGCATTTTAGGCTTTGCAAGCCACACAGTCACTACTGTAATTGCTCAATTCTGCTGTTGTGGCATTAAAGCATCCACAGACAATATACAGCCATATAAGAATAGTTGTGTGCCTATAAAATTTATAATGGACACTGAAATTTGAATTGCACATGACTTTCATGCATTGAGAAATAATATTCTGCTTGTGAATTTTCTTTTTTGAAAATGTAAAGATTGTTTTTAGTTTGCTAATAATACTAAGCCAGGGAACAGGATTTGACCCATAAGTCATAGTTCAAAGAGCTCTGTGCTAAACTCAAATTTAACAGGACTGAAATCATACACGGTATGCTCTCCAACAGAATGGAATTAAAAAAGAAAAAGAAAAATTGGAATTCCACAAAGAGTTGGAAATTAACCAATACATTTCTAAATTTTTTGAGTCAAAGAATAAATCACAAGCAAAATTAGAAAGTACTGTGCACTGAATTATAATGCAATCATGATGTACCAAAATGTATGAGATGACAACACCAGAAATGGTGGAGTAGGGAGCTCCTACGATGCATCCCACCACTGAAATGATTAAGCTGGCAAAAACTGCAAGAATCAGCTTTTTCAGAATTCTAGAATCTAGTTAGAAACTTACTATAATCAGAACAGTGTCAAATGAAGAAAGGGACTGCAAACTGTATCATTTACAGAATTCTTATCAAGTCACTAGCTGAACACTGAGATAATAAATGGAGAGTTTAGTGACCACATGTGACAAGGAACAAAAGTCAAACAAATGGATGACTGCAGCCCACAATAAGCAACAACACAAACCTGAGGGTAGGGGGGAAATACTCTGATTTCCAGAGCCATCATATAAAATTCAAAATGCCTATTTTCAATAAAAACTTATTAGACATGTAAAGAAATAAGTAAGTATGGTCCATTTACAGAAAGAAAAACAAATTAACAGAAACTATCCCTGAGGAAGCCCAGACATTTAGACTTACTAGAAAAACCAGCTGTCACTGATAGGCTAAAAAGCTAATGGAAACCACAGACAAAAACTAAAGGAAACTGGGAGAAGAACCTATCAATAAATTGAAAATATCAATAAAGAGACAGAAATTACAAAAAGGGACCAAATACAAGTTCTGAAGCTGAAAAGTACAGTAACTGTAATGAAAAATTCACCTACTTTTAAAAGGATTCTTCCTAAGATTTAAATAGGCAGAAGAATGAATAAATGACTATGAAGATAGGTAAGTTAAGATTACTCAGTCTGAGGAGTGGAAAGAGAAAAAAAGGAAGAAAAATTAAGAGATATATGTAAACAGCACCAATCTTAACAGCACACACAAATGAGAGGTCCCGAAGAAAAGGGAGAGAAAGGGACATAAAGAATAGTTGAAGAAACAATGGCAAATCTATGTAAGAAATTCAGTGAACTCCAAAGAGAATAAACTCAAAGAGATCTACACTGAAATGTAGTGTAATCAAACTGTTGAAACCCAAGAAAGAATCTAAAAAGCTAGAAAAGAGAAGTAACTCATCATCAGAAGCCATGGAGGCCAGAAGGTGGTGACATATTTAAAGTGTTGAAAGAAAAAAACGGGCAACCAACAAATCTATATCTACAAAACTATCTTTAAATAAAGGAAAAAGATTGACTTATGGCCTGACAGCATGAGGAGCTAGAGTGACCTCCTCCCCACTGAAGCTTATGAAAACTATTTTAAAAAATCACTACTTAAAAACTTTGGAAACAGTTCTAAGGACAAACAGCAAATTAAAGACACATATTTAAGAATATCTTAGAAAATTCACTAAGGTGAGTCTTTAGTATATGAACCAAGACCACTAACTCCTACCCTCTCCCATTCCAGCTCAAGGAGGGGGAGACTCCACTCAAAACTCCTACAACCAAGAACCCAGCGCTCCTTCTCCCCACCAGGTCCCATTCAGAGGCCTTTCTTCCCAGAAAGAAAGCTGTCAACCAAAACAAATCTATATCTGACAAAATTATCAAAAATAAATTAAAGAGATCAACTTATGGCCTGATGGCATGAATAGCTAGAGTGACCTTCTCCCCGACTTAGCCTCCACTGGTGGAATATAGACCTTAATTGGGTGTGGTGAATGAAGATCTGGGCCCTGATCATCCTTGCCCAGGGTCTGGGAGGAAAGAGGCAAACTGAGAAGACCTCTGGCTGTACCCTCCCCTCCACCAAGCACTGGGCTAACAGAAGAGAACTGTTACTCAGTGAGAAACTTGCCACTACCCTTAGCCCCACCTCCAGAGACCAGGCTGAGAGCTTTTGTTTTAGGGAAGAAGGAGACATTAAAATAGCTCATCATCTCTCCCCAAAGGAACTAACTTCATTTGCAAGAGCATGTAGAAAGTCAAACCTAAAGGAGTGCTTGAAAGGCAATTAATAAGATTCAAAATGCAGGCTAAACTATAGGTTAGCTAGTTTGCAGGAAAGAACTGGAGAATAAGGCAACTGGGAGGAATCCTCCTGGGGTCAAAACAATATCAAACACTAATCTCAGAAACTATTCGTTCAAAGAACCCCCAGTTTGATTGGATTAGTTTTCAAAGTAGTTTATGCCCCAGGGCATTGTGGAAAACAATTAAACAATTAGTTCACAGTAAGTGGAGCTTGGCTGCTGGGTGTGGTCAGAGAGAGACAGCCCTAACAAACCACAGTCATCCCAGGGTGATTGAGGGCATATTCAAATTGCATTTCCCTAAGAAGCAACATAAAGGGACTAACCTTATGGGAAAGGAGAATACAATGAGATACTACTTCACAGCCACTAGGAAGGCTAGAATTGTGTAAAGTTAGGTAATGACGAGTGCTGGTGAGAATGTAGTCAAGTTAGAGCCCTCATACATGGCTGATTTGATTATAAAATGGTGCAGCCACTTTCGACAAGAGGCAGTTTCTCAAACAACTAAAGTTACATGACCCAGTAATAATACTCTAAAATATACATCTAGAGAAATAGAAACATATGTCTACACAGAAACTTGCACATGAATGTTTTAGCAGGCTCATTCTTAATAGTCTAAAGGTGGAAACAACCAAATGTCCATTGATGGAATAATTGATAAACAAAAGGTGGTATATCCATACTATGGACCATTATTCAGCCATAAATGGAATGAAGTACTTACTGATACATGCTACAACATGGATGAACCTTAGTCATCCAATAAAGTCATCAATAAAGACTACATATTGTATGACTCCATACATGTGAAATGCTCAAAACTGGGAAACCTACAGAGACAAAAAGTAGATTCGTTGTTACCTAGGGATGGGTAAGTGGGGTTCAAGAGGGCATCTGGTTATGGCTAAAGCGTGTGGACTTCTTGGAGTGATGAAAATGCTCTGAAATTAATGGTGGTGGTGGCTGCAGATATACTAAAAACCACTGACTTGTACATTTCAGATGGGTGAATCATATGGTACGTGAATTCTATTTCAATAAACCTGTCAAAAAGAACCAAAAAAATAAATTAAGACACTCCCAGATGAAAGAGCTGAGGGAGCTTGTTGGTAACAGACCTGGCCCTACAAGAACTGCCAAAGGGAGTTCTTTAGGCTAAAATGGCAAGATAATAGACAATAACTCAAAGTATACTAAGAAACAAAGAACATGGATAAAGGTAACTACATAGGTAAATAAATATAAAAGGCAGTATTAATGTAGTTTTAGTTTGTAACTCATCTTATTTTTTTCTACATAACTTAAAAAGAAGTGGAAAGGCTGATCCTGAAATTCATATGGAATTGCAAGGGGCCCTACATAGACAAACAATCTTGAAAAAGAAGAACAAAGTTGGAGGACTGACACTTCGCAATTTTAAAACTTACTATCTACAGTAATCAAAACAGTGTCATACTGGTACAAGGGCAGACACAGAGACAAATGGAATAAATTTGGAAGACCAGGAAAAAAAACCAACATCTATAGGCAATTGATTTCAACAAAAGTGTCAAGATCATTCAATGAAGAATGAACTAATCTGTTCACCATATGGTGCTGGGACAACTCACTATGCACATGTAAAAGAATGACGCTGGACCTCACATCATATACAAAAATTAACTCAAAATAGATCAATGACATAAATATAAGAGCTAAAAACATGGAACACTTAGAAAAATGCATAAGGATAAATCTTCGTGACTTTGGATTTGGCAAAGAATTCTCAGATCTGTCACCAAAAGCACTAGCAATAAAAGAAAAAAGGTAAATTGGACTTCAAATTTTAGAAATTAGTACACCAAAGGATATTATCAAGTGTAAAAAACACTCAAGAATGGGAAAAACAATTTGCAAATCATATATATGTAACAGTCTACTATCTAGAATATATAAAGAATTTGTACAACTCAACAACAGAAAGACAATCAAATTAAAAAAGGTCAAAGGACTTGAATAGACATTTCTGCAAAGAAAATATACAGGTGGCCAACGAGTACATGAAAAGATGCCCCAAAGCATTAGTCATTAGGGAAACAGAAATCTAAACCACAATGACTTATCACTTCAAACACACTAGGATGGTTGTAATTTTTTTTTAAACCAAAAATAGTTAAGTGTTGATAAGGTAGTACGATAATTCTGTGTTTAACTTACAGAGTAATATCAAACTGTTTTCCACAGCAGCTTCATCATTTTATATCCCAGCAGCAATGTCCGAGACTTCCAATTTCTCTGCTTCCTTGCCAACACTTAATTCCTGTTTTTGGTTTTTTAAAAAACTAGATCCTGCCCTCAATTTATGAGAAATTTTAATTGGCCCTTTACTGTAACCCAGACTTAAATCCCACTTAAAAATCCACCATTTTTTAAATTGACTTTTAAAAAAAATTTCTCTTCAAACTTTGTTAAAAAAAATGTTAGAATAAGTTCATAAGGTCACAGAAGTCTAAGAAATACAGGCGCAGAATAATCACTAAAATAATGGCTGCCTCCGGAGATGAAGGTAGAGAGAGATGCAATCAGGGATGGGTACAGTGAACTTCAACCATAATGATAGTTTTTATTTTAGTGTTTGTTTGGTGAGAACAGAGGTTCACTGTATTATTCTTTATATGTTTGTATATGTATTAACCACTTCATAACATATATAGAAGACCCCCCAAAAAGACAAAGAAAAGAATGTTATTACATTCCTTTAGCACACTCTCCCCACACTAATCACAGGATCATACTGCCTATTTTGCAACTTACTTTTCTCACCTAACAATCCATTATGGCATTCTCTAAATCAAGAGTGTAAAGAGGTAAATCTGTCTCCACAGATGCAAAATATTTCAAAATACGAATGTTCTACAATTTACTTGGTCTCTTATTGATTTACTTGTTTCCAGTAGATATTGTCACAAAAACAAAGCTGCAAAGACATCCATGTTCATGTGTCTTTACATGTACTTTTATTTCTATAGGATGTTTTCTTAAAAGTCAGACTATCAGGTTCGTATGTAGTCTAGTGATATCTGTACTTTTTATTTCCCTAAGCATTGCCAGATTACTTTTTCAAAAGGTTGCAGCAATTCATACTCTCTTCAGCAACATAAGGGTAAACTACAGGCACTTCCTAACTGAAATTTAACCACATAAGCATTTTAATACAGATTAGATGTAATTGTATTACTGAATTATTTTCACCAAGGTATTTGAACACGGGAAATCTAGCTCTTTCCTTAGTGAGTTATCAAAGCTAACAATCTACAAAATAATGCAACAATACCCGAAAGATTACCTGTACACACACGCACACCGACCTTTGAGATGCTTCCAGCACAAATGTTGTATGTCCAGAAGTCCTCACTTAAGGTATACACAAAAGAGAAAAAAATTTCCATCTAACCCATGAGTAGGTTACAAACTGACTAGTTTATTAAATAAGTTTGCACTCGAAAGGCAGCACGAGAGAAGATACCTAAGAGCGCTGTAGGGAGAGCGAATCTTTCATTTTGGGGAGGCATGGTGTCAATAAAAACCCATTTAAACAAGGAAAAACGAGACGAAAGCGACCCAGAATCCCTCCTGGCAGCTAGCTTCCGCAATCACCTCGCCTCATCAAGTGGCGGTAAAATGATTAGGGAGAAATTATGTTCCGATATTTTGAAGAAGGGCGAGAAAGAAAAATGAAAAACAGGCCAACTCCTCCCCCCACTCAGGCAGGCTGCGCAACCCGAAGCGTGTAGCCTTGCTAACGACCACTTTCCTAGCCGATGTAAGACTGAGCACTCACCACCACACAAAAATTGGCGAGTTTCTATGGTTTCCTAAATAAATTCGTCCTTAGGTCGCCTTTCCGTAACTCGTGCGCCAGCAGTACTTGCCCCGGTGCAAGGGCCGCCATCTTAGATCTGTTGAGCCCTCGGGAATAAGGCAATAAAAGCCTGGAATGTGCGTCACAACCCAACAGGCCCCGCGCCCAACCGCCGCGCACAACCCAAATGGCTCCGCCGGCAACGTGACCCATCCGCCCTGCGGCCCCTCCCCCAGTTTTCCTGACTGGTTGCACTTCCTCTTATAGCTTTACCCTGTTGAAATTCCCTAGTTCTGCCTCCTCTTCTTCCCCTTCCTTTATTTTTTCTTTTTCCACCCCAAATTTCTTTTACTTTTGCCCGGACTCCTTTCTTCTTTACACATTTCTAGATATCTGGTTCTCCTCAACTTTCACTTACCTCACAGATGTACTACTGCATTTTGTAATAGTTAAACTTGTAAGGTTGGAGGCACCAGAGGGAGGGGTGAGCACGTCAGACACTGATGAGGTGCCAAAGTCCCTGGCTGCTGCCCCCTCCCAACCTGAAAAATGTGCCTTAGGCTAGCCAATCCTCCCGCCCCTGTAAATCTAAGCTCTACCTCCCCCTACCTTCTTTTAAAACTCCCTGCCTGCCCTGCTGAGTGTAACTTCCCCCGCCTGTGATAGCCAGACCGGGGAACATCACCCGGGAATTGTGCTCAAATAAACTGCCTGGCCCTTTGTTGCCTCTCGTCACCTACTTATTTCGGTTAGAATTTATCTTACAAAACTTAACTCTGTTACTTTACCAAATTATCACGACATTATAAGGTAGACTGAGGACTGATTTTCCCTATTTTATAGATGAGAAACCTAAGTCCCAGAGAGATGAACCGATTTCCCCAAATCGGCAACAGCTAGAAAGTGTTGAGAGGACAAAGAACCTAATTATTTTCAACTCCAGTCAGCTCTTGCTCCTGCAGATCACTGTCCTTACCAAACTAATTGAAAAGATGGGAAAACTGAAAACAGAGTTGAGAAGGGTTTGGGTCTATATTCACACAATGAGTCAATGACAAAACTGGATCCAAAAGACGCTGCTTTCTTGTTTAATTCTGTAACAGAAAGCATCTTCATAAAGGGGTTGAGATATTCTTCTTCACCCTAAAAGTCCTTCCTCTTCTTTTAGACTCAGCTCACGTCCTGACTCCTCTAAGAAGTCACTGTATTTATCAAATTGTTTATCTTCTTTGGTCCCTCTCCATGACGGAAAATAACACTAACTGGATGCCAGCCCCAAAACATTTTTAAATAACAAAAACAAAAAACCAATGCTGAAACTTGTTTGTGAAGTAATATTGTGTGAATGGTGTGGAAGATTAGTGGGGGAAGTTTTGTGCATCACAGGTAGGGAAATGACAATTTAGAGGTTCTAATTCCTTTCCAAAGATATAGTTTTTCTCAACATTCTAATATTACCTCTAGCTTTCTACAAAAACCCAGCATAGAAAACCTATTCCATTCATTTATATCATTACTTTTCTTTCTTTCTTTTAAAATTGTCATGCTTAAATAGAGGGTAATGGTAGAGAATTGTGTAAACATCTGGGCCTTGATGTATAGCCATTCTTGTGTAAAAGACTGCATGGAACCAATCTGTGTTGTCAATACTGTGTGTAGTGAGGTGAAGTCTTAGCTTAAGCTTAAAGTGTGTAATTTCCTGGGACTTAGACATGTTTTAGCACATCTTGGAAACTGGTAGGATAGACACTGGAAGTCAATTGCAAAAGGAACTGCTGAACTCTTGAGAAAGAACTTATCCTAAGAGAGGAGGGAGTTAGACAGACAACCTCAGGCAGGGAATCTGGTTGTCCAACAAAATGTGTTTATTTTGAGCTAGGTACACAAAATTTCTCTTAGTGATTTAATGGTAAGTAGAAAGATGAATGGAGAAAAATGAATGATAAAGTATTTGCTCTCATGACTCTCAGAAGTCTGTCTGAAACAAATGACCATTTGGATTTTAAAGAAATACATATAAACAAATACATGAACAATAAACTCGGGAGTAGAACAGTAAACTCGGGAAGCTGCTAGTCAAGTTTAGGAAAACAAACAAACCTTGATGCACTGGTTTTATTTACTGGTGTTTCAAAAGGATAGGTGCTGGACTCAGAGAATTAGGGGCTGAAAATCTCTCTTAATTCACAACCAAAGTGGAAACTTCATACTCCTCTCTCCACCCACTCACATTTCCCCTGGTCTACCTGCATTGATTGCAAGAAAAATGCTTTCAGGAAATACTAGAGACAGAGCTTGGTGGGCTGCAATATTTGCTCTTCAAGTCTGATCCTCTTAGCTTCCTGGACTCCTGGTTCAGTCATTCTCTATGAGAGCCCAGTTTTCCTCTCTCATAAGAAATTGTTCCAAGAGCAAGATAACTGTCTCCTGCAAGGATATAAAATCCAAATAGGCAAAAGAAGAGTCAGGACTTCACCATTATCGAGTCATATTTAGCAGGCACTTACAAAGAGCTCTCGGTTGAAGAATTTACAAGAATAATTGCCCAGGCAATAACCCCTGGGACAACAGTTTGTTACCTTTGCATTCAAAATCTAAGACAAAAAAAATGGAAAATGGGTCTATATATGACAGTCAAAATAATTGATGCATGCTGAATTAGACTATAGTACATTCATTTGAAACATGAGTAAGTAAAAGGTATGATTTGATGTGGCAAATGGCAGGGCTGATACAGAATTCATTCATTAAGAACATTATGTAAAAAATAGAGCTACATATATTTCATTCAAATATGAATGAAAACCAGTACTGGTCCTCAAAGAGATCAGATTCAAGTTGAGGAAGGGAAAATAAGAGGTGATCCAAAAGAATTATAAACAATGTCTTTGCATCAGGTACTGTACGAGGTACAAAATGGGAATAAAAGTGAGCTTAAGCTGTGGGAAGAGAATATAAGGATGAATCTACCATGATTCTTAGCCTCAGGGATTTTACAGACTAGTGGAGAAAAATAAAACATGAAGGTTGGGTAATATTTTTTATTAAGGGATTCAAGGAGATGAAAAAGTATTTAATACATACATTTCAACACCTAAAATGATTCATAAAGTCATACATTTTGCAAGGCTGTGTAGGGTACAGGAAGAACACCAAAAACAAAAAGAAATCTATGAAGGTACTGCAAACCAATGAGGGTGATAAGCTAGAAAGCAGAATGTGTCATGAAACATGTAAAATCACATTACTTACACTGTGTATAAAGTCGACCTGTTGTGAAATTTTTTATTGAGATATAATCCACGTACCATAACATTCACCATTTCAAAGAATATGATTCAGTGGTTGTTAGTATAGCCACAAATTTGTGCAACCCCCACCACTATCTAACTGGAGAACATTTTCTATCACCCCATTTCAAAAGAAACCCCATATCCATTATCACTCATTCACTCTTCCCCCAAACCAGTTCCTGGCAAATACTAATTTATTTCCTATCTCTATGGATTTTCCTCTTCTGAAAATTTCATATAAATTAAAGCATATATTAGGTGGCCTTTTTGTGCCTGTCTCCTTAGCATTATATTCTCAAGGTTCATGCATGTTATAGCATGTATCAATACTTCATTCCTTTTTATGATTAATATTCCAGTATATGCATATACAGCATGTTGTTTATCCACTATGCATGTTCGAGTTGTTTCCACTTTCTGGCTATTATGAATAATGCTGCTATGAACTTTCATATACAAGTATTTGTGTGGACATATGTTTTCAGTTCCCTTGGGGATATACCTGGGAGTGGAACTGCTGGCTAATATAGTAACTCTATGTAGAACGCTTTGAAGAACTGCCAAACTGCCTTCCAAGGCACTGCACCATTTTACGATCCCACCAGCAATGTATCAGTTTTCCAGTTTCTCCACATCCTCACTAGCATTTGTCATTTTAATTATAGCCAGCTTAGCAGGTATGAAGTAGCATCTTATTGTACTTTTGATTTGCAGTTCACTAATGGCTAATAATCTAGAGTATCTTTTTATGTCCCTATTGGCCATTTGTATATCTTCTTTGGAGAAATGTATATTCATATCTGTTTGCCATTTTTCTATCAGGAGGTTATCGGTCTTTTACTGTTGAGTTGTAAGAATTTTATATGTATTCTGGATACATACCCATTATCAGATACAGGATTTACAAATATTTCTCATATTCTATGGGGTTTTTCAGTTTTTGATGTGTCCTCTGAAGCATAAATTTTTAAATCTTAATTAAGTATAATTTATCTTGGCTTTTGATGTCATATCTAAGAAACCATTGTCTACCCTAAGGGCATGATTATTTAAACTAAGTTTTCTTTTAAGAGTTTTATAATTTTAGCACTTAGACTTAGAACTTTGATCTATTTTGAGTTAGTTTTGTATATTGTGGGAAATAAGGATCCAACTTCTTTCTTTTACATGTGAATGTTCAGTTCTGCCAGCACCGTATGTTTAAAAGACTACTATTTCTTTGTTGAAAATTAGATGACCATAAATGTGAGGGTTTATTTCTGAGCTCTCAATTCCATTCCACTGATTTAATGTCTAACGTTATGCCAGTACCACAAGTCTTGAATACTATAACTTTAAAGTAAGTTTTGGAATCAAGAACATGAGTGCTACAACTATATTTCTTTTTTCCAGATTGTTTTAGCTATTCTGGTCTCCTACAGTTCCATATGAATTTTAGAACCAGCTTGGCAATTTTTGAAATAATCAAGCTGGGATTTTGATAGGGATTGTACTAAATGTATAGAAAATTTGAGGGAGTATTAACATCTCAATGATATAAAATTTTCTAATACATTAACAAAGAATGGATATTTTCCCATATACTTACATATTAAATTTTTTCAATAACATTTTGCACTTCTCTATGTACAAGTTTTGTACTTTTTGTTACATTTATTCCTAAGTGTGTTTGATGCTATTTTAAATGGAACTGTTTTCTTAATTTCATTTTCAGATTCTTCACTGAGTGTATAAAAATACAGCTCGTTGTATATTGGTTTTGTTTTGTACAACCTTACTAAAATGGTTTATTAGTTCTAGTCCCAGCAGTTTTTTATTCATTCCCTAAGATTTTCTCTATACAAGATTATGTCATTTGAAAATAGATATAGTCTTACTTCTTTCTTAATCTGAATGCCTTTTCTTTCTTTATCTTGCCTTAATTGCCCCAGACAGAACCTCCATTACAAGACTGAATAGAAGTGGTGAGAGCAATCATCCTTGGCTTGTTGCTGATCTAAGGAAGAAAGGGTTTCATAGGCACTGCATTAGCTTCCTATTGCCACTGTAACAAATTACTGCAAACTTAGTGACTGAAAATGACACAAATTTATTCTCTTAACATTTCCGGGGATTAGAAATCAGAAACCAGATTCTCTTGGTTAAAATCTAGTTGCCAGTGGGCCTATGTTCCTTCTGGAGGTTCTAGGGGAGAATCTGTTGCTTATA